GATCGACGGGCGCTTGGAGGAGCTGTACCACGGCAGGGTGAGACCCCGAGGGCCCGGGCTGGACGGGGGCGGCCCGGGACAGACCGGCCTCGGGAGAGGCAGAGGACGGTCCAGGCTGGACCTTTTGCACAAGAGGACAGGCGTGCGTCGTCCTGGTGGTCTGTGTTCCACAGCACAGACACACGTACACACTTGGGTCTCCAGACAACAGGGCAAGTCCCCTGGAAGGGTCGGGGTTAGGTATGGGAGATGTGGAGGCCCAGCCTCCATAGCTACAGAAAGGGTGAAGAGGGTGTGTGAAGTCAAACACATGGTGACAGGGAGATCGCACAAGAGACACGAAGCAAAGGGAACAACGAACGGTATACACAGATGTCCACAGGGACAGAAGTTACAGCCCCTGACAACCACAGCCACACACAAGCTCACAAGGACACAAGCTACGGGCATTTATGGGTCCAGAAAGGCTACACAGCTTTCAGAGATCCGCATCAGCCCAAGCTGTAGCGGCACACAGACAAGACAAGCTCCGGTAGCTCCCCGGGGCCACAGAGCGAGTTACATATGACCATCCATTACCTTAGCAAGAAAAAAGTCGCAGCTACCAGCAAACCCAATGACAGATGCCAGAGCCAACCCCAGATATAGATCAAAAGCAGTTACAGCTCCAGGAAGACACAAAAGCCATGGGCACACACGGCCACGAAGTGGCTGCTGCCCGCGAAACTCAAGCGCATAAGCCACAGCTACATACACTGACTCGTAGGCCACAGGCAGACATGGGTGCTTAGTCCCTTGGATCTCTGCTGGAAGTCACACTTCCTACAACATACATGTACCTGGGAACGTAGCCGGGTACCTGGTAGACATGACAGAACACACACAGTACCAAGTTCCACAGAGCTGGTGGTATTTTGAAACAGGGTCTCACTAAGTCATTCAGCTGGGCTCAAACTTGGGATCCTCCTGTCTCAGCCTCCCGGAGTGCTGGAATACCATGGTCCACATAGTGGCACAAGGACCTTCTGTTCTCAGACACATATGTGAGCTGCTCATACGTAGTCAACAGGCAAATGTGGTTGATAGAGATTGGTGGCCTCCTCAGTGGGTACCATAGGTGCCCCTGTGGGAAGCCATCCACATGCCACATACCTCTGCCCCACAGCTGGCCCTGGACCTTCTGTGTGTGTCAGACTCTGGCAAAGACCCATGAAGTCGTGTGACACACTTACAGACTCCCCAGAGCTCTGCTGAACCCTCCTTGCCCACACCTCCCTTGCCCACACCTCCGCTCCCACCGGAGAGCAGGACTCCATGGGGCCACACTGCAGCCGTCCTCTTACTGGGACAGCTGGGTCCTGTCCCTGTCAGTGGTGATGAACCAGCTGTGTTTTGGGCCCGCTGCCCCAAGAGCCCAGGCTCTGCACGTCCCAGATGTCTGCTTAGGGACAGATGCGTGAGTCATCTCACCCGCCCACCTTGGGGGTCATGAATGGTCACCTCCCCCCACCATGGGCCTGCACTTTGGCCCCAGAGCCTGCCTGCTTCCTGTCCCCTGGGGGAAGGGGCCCACCCCAGCAGCCTCCCCTCCTGCACCTAGTGCTGAGACTTTTCCTTGAAAGGGCAGAAGCCAGCCCCTCTCTTGAATCTCAGAAGCTGACATTCCAAGACTCGACCAGGCCTGTTTTCTCTGGTGGGAACTGCAGCCAAGGGGAGAGACCAATGCCAACCCTGAGGTCCCCGGAGCCCATGGGCCCAGGCATCGGGGGCTGGTACAGGGCCCCAGGCCTCCCAGCCCATCTGCCACCCCTCCCCCCAGCACCCAGATGTCCTGCCTTGGCGGTGCTGTCCCTGACTGCCACATTATTGCTCCAGAATCCTCCAGCTGGGCCCGCCCTGGGGGCCTTGGGGCCCCTCCAGAGCCCTGAACAAAGGCCAGAGGAAGGCATCAGAATCCTCCAGCTGGGCCCGCCCTGGGGGCCTTGGGGCCCCTCCAGAGCCCTGAACAAAGGCCACGGAGGAAGGCAAAGAGACCCTGACAGCCCTCTCTCCCTGCTGCAGGAGGCAGATATGCCTGATGAGGTCAACATTGATGAACTGTTGGAGTTGGAGAGTGACGAGGAGAGAAGGCAGAAAATCCAGGTAGACGGGTGAAAGGCAGCCCCGGTCTTTCCCCTTTGCATTGCCCCCAAAAGAGTAGCCAGAGTTGGGCCAGGAATGTAGCTCAGTGACACTATGGCCGCCTCAAAAGCGCAAGGTCCTAAGTTCGATCCCCAGTACTAAGGAAAAAAAAAAAAAAGCAGCCAGAGTTAACATGTTTCATGAGCACTTACTGTGCACCAGATGGTGGCTCAATTTCTTTACACTTAGTGACTCTTCTTTTTGTTTTGTTTTTGAGACAGGATCTCGCTATGTCGTGCAGGCTGGCCTTGAACTCACCATGGAGCCCAGGCTGGCCTCAAACTTGAGGAGATCCTCCTGCTTCAGCCTCTCCAGTGCTAGGATTGTAGGCCTGCACCACTGTGTTCTTCCAGTCCCCATAAAACCCAATAAAGTAGGCACAGATAATATCTCTATTTTCCAGACAAGGAAAATGAGGCCCAGAGAGGTTGAATCATATGCCAAGGGTCACACAGCTCAGTCAGAGCAGAGCTGTGATGCAAAGACAGGCAGTCTGGGTGCCGAGCCCTTTCCCTTATGGCCTGTGCCCTCTTGGGGAGCGCGCGTGTAACTTCCTCACCCATGTCTTGTGTGACTCAACCTCACCCAAGTCAGCTCTGTAAGAACTGCGTGCTATGTCCTTTTCTTGAAGTCTGTGGGGTCTGGCTTCCATTGCTTTATTGCCTTTGGGCTTTGTTGGGAAAGGGGAGAGGAGGGGTGGTGACACCTACCTATGATTCCAGCACTCTGAGAGGCTGAGGCAGGAGGATCCCCAGTTCGAGCCCAGAGTGGGCAACTTAGTGACTTAGTTAGACCCTGTGTCAAAATCAAAGTACAAAGGGCTGGGGATGTAGCTCAGTGCAAAGGCCCTGGGCTCCAAAGTCATTCTCCAGTTCTGCAACAAGGAAGGAAGGAGGAAAGGTGGGGGGAGAGCTGGAAGCATCTGGGTATTAATCATTTACTGTTTTCTGGGGCTGCAGGGGCTCCTGAGGTCATGCACGGACCCCACAGAGGTGAGTTTGTCTGCCCCCATGAGGAAGAGGGAGCCAGCCATGGCCGCAGTGCAGCTCTTTTCTGCTCTCCACTGATGTCCTTTGTCCTCCTCCTCCTCCTCCTCCTTCTCTTCCTCTT